GGAAAGAGAACATATTTCCAGCCCACAGATATTTTCTGAAATGAGTCAGGAATAGAATTCAAAAATATAATTTGAGCATCTTTAAGAAATACAAAAAAGAAATTAAAATATACCATATTTTAAACTTGCTTCTAAGTGAAAGGCACATGTATTTTACCTCTGTTAAAAAAAGAGGTATTATATATATCCCACATGTGGGCATAGGAACGAGGATTTAATACAGATTGTTATATATTAAAGTTGTAATTATGTAAATTCTTATGCAAATAAAAAAATAAGCCTGTTAACTCTGAATGAAGCACACTAGGAAATACCTAAATGGTAACTAAGCACATGAATGGCAGGATGCTTGCAAAAATAGACTATGCCCAAAAAGTTTGTATGCTTTCATTTTATTTTAGTGCAGAATTGTAACTTAAACACATAAACTGTTTCTCCCTCTGTTGGGCAGTTGCTCATGTCTGAGTTAGCAGGGCAGACAGAATTACTATGTGCATGCACCCATGTCAGAGCAAGTATGCTTGGGGCACTAGCAGAGGACAACTTAAGTGTATCATGTTGGAAGTAAAAATTCACTTGTCTTGAATTCATTATCTTAGTTCTCATTCCTTTGAGAAGGGCCAGGGTGTTATCCTGGTTTGTAGTGAAATGGTTTCACAAAAAGTATCTTTCTGATATAATTACATGAAAACAGCTTGGACACAGATATTGCAATATGAAACAAAATTTGGCTGAACAGCTATAAACAAAAAGCAAACAGAAATTATTCAGTAGCAAGTCTGCTTCCCACCATCCAGACTCAGAGTTCCTTTAATGTTTAAATGGAGAGAGCATGGGCTTCCTTGGACACATTTCATCACTGTTGAGATCTTCATGCTTTTCAGTACCATAGAAGATAAAGATGCAGGAGCATCATGGCAGAAGCTGTTGAAAATGCCACCTGCAAAAGCAAACGTAAAGACAAAGAAATCTCATTGTGCACAGGACACCTAGGGGAGAGAAAGTGCCAAAGGTGAAGCTTCAGCTCTACTGAAATCAGTAAGAAAGTCACCATTGACATGAGCCAAGCCACCACTTTACCTAGGACTTTCACATGGCCAAGATAGCTAGTTGGTTTCACTAGCAATGCATGGAGGTTGGAAAGAAATACATTACAGATGGAGCTGGATAACACATTTTCTGTTTTAGGGAAGTGTTAACTCATAAGAAGAAGAAGTCGCACTTCTAACAGTTAAGGCTAGCACAGCACGCCTAGACTAATAGTGTTTTTAAATAATCAGATCTGCTACATCATGGCTAGAATAATAAGTTTTTTACACTTTTTTTTCGAAGCCATTACATGTATATTGTCAGCACTATCATAGGTAGTATTTTGGTTTTAGAATTGTGTGATGTTCTCAACCGCTGTTAAAATACCATCTTCACACAAGAGGGCACCATTGCATTCCTAGTCGTGGAAAAACCCCTCTCACCTATAGGATTTCCTTCCCCTTTAGACCAGAATAGCAATAGCAGGATAAGTATTATCCAGGCCTTCTTCAAGGTGTAAACAGTAGGCACAGATCACAGCTACTATGTCTCATCTTATTTTCCTATGCAAATTTAGTCATCCCAAAGCCTTAGGACAACAATTTGCACAGCTGCCTTCTGTAAGCTAATGTAAAAGAGAAAATAACAGTCTTAAAGCCCCAAATCTCATCAGTTAGCCATATTTAATCTCCTTCTATTTCTCAGACTGACATGTACAGAAAACAGTTATTTATTTGTTACTTTATGTTGATAGAGTGGATTTAATCCCCCATGCATTCCTTGGGCTCCTTGTTTGTAGTCCCGAAGACTAAGAGTTCAAGAAACTCTCAGAATCAATAGCCAGGGAATTGGGTTTTGGTCCCTGGGCTTTGTGGTGTACAATGAAGCACACTTTCATTTCAGCTGTAACTTCATCATAGCAATTTCTTTGAAATATTTCTTACCCTTCTGACTTCAGTACATAGCATGCAAGTTAAAAGACACCCAAGTAAAACAAAAACATTTCACTTCACATTCTTCTCCCTCTGGGGAGAGGCTGAAAGAACAAAAAAAACAATTGATACTTATTAGTCATACTGCTGAGCCTACTCCTAGGAGGAGTTCAACTAGTATGGCCCAAAGCATAATATGAAACAGCAGTGCCACAATACTGTTCTTGCCATAAAATACAGGGTAACACTCTTAACTGAAATCATCAGAAGAACATACATCCCTCAATGTCTAGCCAAGAACTGTTGTTAAGCATTGGTGCCCATTGACTCACATGGAAGACACAATCAGTTCTCACAGATGAAAGCTAGGATATGGAGGAGGAAGAAAGGAAAAGCTTATCCTTACTTACCCTCCAATGAATGAAAGTACACTAAATTTAAAGACTGAGAGAATATTAACCTGTACAGGACCACTTTCTGTATTATGAGATTCTCACTTTCACAGAGTCCAGTTACAGCTGAAACCCATTGTCAGGGATTCAACACATGCAGGACATGCAGAGAGGTTGACTTAAATGTGGAATCTTGGCTTGAATCTGTCAGGCCCTAAGGTGCCCTCACACTTGCTGTCAGGAAAAATAAGTCCTGCATCCTACATATCAGAAGTCAGAAAAGACAAACACTTCACACCTGAATCTCTACTCTCTTATCCTAGTTTTGTGCCGTCAACCATCTTTTGAAGGCCATAGGATATGCTGATACAAACTAAGTGGGAAACAACGGAAAAATAAGGACACTTTACCTCAACTGACAGTAGACTTGATTCTCAATCATCCAAGGCAATATTGGCAACAAGAGAAGACAATTTGTGCAAACCAAAGAATATACAGATCACTCAAAATACACAAATTAGTCTTTGAGAGTGGTGAACTACACTGACTTTTGAAGAATTGTAAACATGTATCCAGAAAGATGTGGCAGCCTTGAAAAGTTTAGTCATAGCAGCCAGATGTGAATACTATATTCTATGTTCCAAGAATGGGTGGTGTAATAATCCTGAAGGTACCTCAGGATGGAGAGTTATTGTACAACACCAAATCAATCCACAGTTAATTGGGAGGTTATTATATTGCAGAACTACCTTATAATTATTACTAATAATGTGATAAGTTATTATTAGTTTTAGCTCTGCCTCTGCTCAGTAAGATACCTTCTTGACAGCATGACATGACTTGCAGCTGTGGCTACCAAACAATATTCAGGAGCAACAGTTTCTGCTTAATTACTTGGTCGGTGTAAATTTCTTCAGAAATCTTACCTTTCCTCATGTCTGTGTTAAAATTATATAAGGGAAGAGCAATCTGTGTATGCATACATTGTCAAAGCTGACAGTTCACAAAATATTCTCTTTGGATGAGTCTGACCATATTACTTGACCCTATGTATTTTTAGGAGAGATTGTAATGACTTAATTGAATTCCATTTTCAGTTATTGCTGTCTGAGGTATGGAATTATCAGATATCACAGGCCTGGAACTGTCTCAGGAGAATCCTAAGTCATGCGTAGGTGCATTACTGAAATAGGATAATTATTAGGCAGATGCACAAACAGTTTTAGGGATTACTGTCTGTCCATAAGCAGGGGAACTGTCTTCCTTGATCACAGTTTCTACCTTCAAACAGAGAACAAATAAGTAATTCACTGGATAAAATGAAATTACTCTTTTACTTTGGATTTTTTTCCATTAATTTCATTATACATTTTGAGAAATGCAAAATATGCTGCAAAACTCAATAATAATTTCAATTGATATCATGCATGAAGTTATTAGTTTTGGATCACAATACATATATGATACAAGGAAGAGCTGACAAAAAATAATTTTCTTTCTATAAATCATCACAGTATGAGACTCATTTCTAACTAATTCTTCAGTAAACTCTTTTCTTATCATATTTTAATCCCCTCAGATAGTTTCCTCTGGAACACACACCTCTTTCCTTTTCTCACGAGTAGTTTGATCTATACGCCAGAAGATACATCTTGATACACAAACCACCTGCTGAGTAAATCTTGCCTAAATTTTATCTTTTTGAATTATAGCTGTAATTAGCCCTACATGAGAGAGGGATTGTTGCTGTAATAAGATTCCTCAATTATGGACACATATAAACCCAGGCATAAAGAAGCCAAGAATCATTATTCAGCATGTAGACACTTTCCTTGTACTTTTGCCATCAACTCAACCACAGCAGATTATATTTTTATCTGATGACGCAGCAATCAACCCAGAACTGTCACGACAGCAAAACACACCTTATGTATACTTGGATAATAGAAGCCAGAGCTGAGCAATGAATATGCAATAGAAATTATTAGATGAATAATTTGAAACCTCAGGCAAGAAGGTTAAATTGGAGAACAGTAAAAAAATTGCAGAGAAAATCCATTAATAATTTAATAAAGGCCCAAGCCAACACCCAACAGAAAATTCTGTGTTTTTTTTTTTCTCTTATATTTATTCCTTACAATAATTGTAAAAAATCTGAACTATTTACAATACTGTCAGTGCTAAATCTCTGAGTGTATCTAAAGCACGGTAGAATTGCTTCATTGGAGCATAATTCCATGAGTATAGATTACAGTAGCATTTCAAACCTATTTGCATATAATTTACCACAGTATCTGCTGCATCTATGCATTACAATGATGCAACTAAATTGATAAACAAAGTAGATATGCTCTCCTAAGATAACTACATGGTACAGTTCAGTAAATAAATACCAAAATTTGCTGGTTAAAAGTACTTAAACTGATTATGAAATCAATTAAATTTCAGGATGATAGCTTCACTTTCACAACAGATTTAAATGCAGAGTAAATTAGAAGGGTTTTACAGTTGTACATTCAGAGAGCATTTCACTCTTTCAAGGCTAATGGCCAATATGGTGACATACTGTGTCAAATATATTTGTCAAGAATGTAAGGCTTTTAAAATTAATTTACTGTTGATATCAATGCTTGGATATATTACAGTGAATTTAAAATACTACAGTAGCCCTTATGTACTACTAATAGTCTAGAAGAGCAGGAGGGAGAAGTCAGAGTCAAACCCACATAGTCAAATACTACTGAGTTGATAACTGCAAATCTAGGAAATAAAGTCATCTTTTTGTTGCAGCTATAAGCAACTACTGCAAAAGTGCTCTATAATACAGTTAAGGTATCTTAAGGTAATTTTGCCTCAAATAATAAATAATTAAAAGAATGTCTATAGAAAGGGAAGTATGGAAATGAGCTTACACCCACTCTTGCACAAGTGAATTACAATGAAGACTAAAAAAATGTTTTTCATCATCCCTATAAGGCTGTCAGCCTACATATTACTCGTATTACAGATAGCTACTAAGTCATTTTCAGGCAGCACTGTAAACCTACAATCAGCTCTGCTTCATGTACGTCAGCCCGAAAGATAAAGATCTTCAGTTTACAAACTCTTCAGAGCACAAAGTCAAAATCCCACTAAGACCTAAACATCTAGTTTACGCTTATGTACATCATCTAAGTACCTCTGGCAATAGAGAGGGAGAAACCCTCTTACCTCCCTCGCAGCATATAATTCACCTTGTCCTAAGATGGGTGGAATGAATCACCACCTCGTGGTACCTGCAGTGAATCTCCACTATCTAGATCTGCATTTGTGTAATAACCAGTACAGATTTTAACTTGTAACCAACAGTATTGCAGGTCTCCTTCTCTCTGAGACCAGGGCTGAAGAGTTTGGTTTCCACAGCCTGTGCTGCCCAAGGGCATGAAGGCAAGCTAGGCAAAGGTCAATGCCCCTGTTTCTCTTCTCTTCTACAATTCCTTCAACACAGTTTGTGTAACTAGCAGCTCAGCTGCCTAATCTTAAAAAGATTCGTTCCCAGTCCTTGAACCAGCCACAGGTGGTTCACTCTGCTCATTGGTAGAAAGCTAGAGACTTTTTCAGGTGAGACTTTGAACTGCACTGCTCCCATAGCCATGTTCTTTCGCTCCACCTCAATACAAGTCCCATAAATGCCATGCTTTCAGAGTAAGACTCGTGACAGCTGATGATCAGCTCGTACCCCCCACCACGGCATCAGCATCTCACACCTGTGGCTCAGCTCTGCAGCTTCTCCCTGTCTGTGGATGCTCTGCCAGGAAAGGCACCGTGCAGACAAGCAGGGCTCAGAGCTGGGCCTCTGGCTAGGACTGTCCTCTCAGAGGGGACTGCCTGCAAGGCAGCTGCCTCATCCTTCCTTGGTAGGTGACTGTACACACTGGAGAAGGGATTGATAGGGGCTTCATAGTTCAGCTCATTCAAGAGCCTGCATTGTTACTATAGGCAATAATAATATGTCAAAGCAATAAAAACGTATGAAATTATTAAGCAAACTCTCCAAATTACTATCTTTGGTAAGGAAAATTATAAAGCAGTAATACACATTCATTTATCAGAGCCTACCCATTTTCAGTGTTTTGTACAAGGAAACTGGTGGCAAATACCCTGTCAAATGACAGGGCCTGGATATCACCAGGAAAGTGGATTTATTATCTGCAACAAACTATTTTCATCTTCCAAAAATAAATGTAGCAAAAATGCAAATGATGCATACTCACTGGAAGGTTTGCTTTTACAATGAATCCCCTGCAAACAGAAATGAAAACATTATGAAAGTTAATATAAAAATCAAAATTAATATTGATTACTCATTGTGCACAAATATAAACACACCATAAACAAGTAAACATATTGACAGTTCACAATAGAAATAATTTTTTTAATGTTTTCAAATACAGTGAAAATGCACATCACTACTGTATATGACAGCCTTATACATATCAGGACACAATACCAGCATTTTCCTTATTTTTCTGTATGTCTATGGATATGTAATTGTTATAACAAGTATAATAGTTCCATCAAATACAGACATCATTCTAACAGGTGCTGCCATTCACACTGACCAACAGCTTGTTTACTGTTTTGTCAAACTTTACAATGGACTGCTTGATATCAGGGCAAAGAAACCAAACAATTTTTAATGGATGATACCTAGAACACAATATTATATTATTTTTAGATCATACCAGGCAAATAGAAAGAATTATTACAGTATTTTCAAATTAAGTTTAGAAATAAGACTCGTCTTTTTATTTCTGAGAACTATCTGGCTCAGAATCCTGAAAATGAAATTACTACAGTACTTTCCACTTTCAAGTGGGAAAGTGTTTTGACAAGAGGCAAAGTGAACCTGACACTGAGATTTTTAACAAGTTTCCAGCTATCTTTCAGACAGACTACACCCCTTTTCCCAGTAAAATAAACACTTAACAATACACTAAAATTCTGCACAGCATAAAAATAACAAATCTTACTTTGAACACTATGCATAACATTCTAAAGAAAGGCCGTTACTTAGTCAATACACACTGTTTTCTGCTGTTTTGGCATTCAAGTTTCTAACATAGCATTTATACCAGTGTTCTTTCATATACAGCAAATATTTTCCTCTCTATTTCCTTTAAAATCAGTGTTTCATTCTCAGAGATAATTTTGTCACACCCACAAACGGAGCAGGCACCATCCGCTGCTCTCAAATGGATTGGCAGCCTTTGGCCCTTTAAAACATTTTAGGATCTTGTCACTAAGTCAACAATCTGCAAGTTTTAGAGCCAGCAAAAGTCTCTCAGTGGACATTTGGAACTTTTCAAGTTGAGAGAAACACAGAGGCCGCAGCCTGGGTAATCATTAGTACATTGTAAAATAGCTATTGCTTGGTCTTCCATAAGGCTTTCATCCACAGGTGATTCTGTCCTCCTCATAAACACAGCTGTAGAGCAAAATAATAGTGCTGCAGGTGATAAATTACAGCATGTTACCTACCCTGTGACAGATGCCTTGAATACCTGAGAAGTGTGTTTTCTGTCCTTCAGTGCTGCTTTTAAGTTTTTTGCTAGACAAGCTTGTTTTTTAAAAAGGCCTTCAGAAAAAGAGTAACCAGTATCCAACCTGTATTCGTTGTAATAGCTTTGTCCTTTCGGCATTTTTTTTTTAATAATCACTTATAGAGGTAAGTTTTACAATTGGCAGTTTGTCGCTATGATTCATAAAAGTGCAGATGCATAAAAGGTGGTATTTTAAGCCATTATTTATAATTAGACAGAGGTGGTCATATATGTTCACAGCCTGAAGATTATAAAAATTAATCATTATATTGTAAAATAAATTACTTTGTCTTCCTCTACACAATCCTGCATCAACACTCAGAGTAGGAATTCTAAAGGAATTCACACTTCTTTACATAACTGTCCTATAACCAGGCTACTTCTATTTCAGTGGTTTCATAAATTCCTTCAATCCCCCCCAAGAACTGAAGAATGTAGCTGATATGACCTCATTTCTGTTGCAAGGTGTTCATAGAAATATTTGTAATTGAATTCTTTCTGCCTACCCCAAAAAAAGTTTCATTGATTGTTTGCTGATTCTCCCAATGCAGATTCCTCAATAGAAAGGAGAAGACTATATTTTTCTGAATAATTCAGTGCAACACTAAACCAATAAAAGTGGAACATGCCAGTTCATTTCCATTGGAAATTTAACTGCTGTGTCAAAGCTCTAATTTTGAATTATTTCTAATAAATCCCTGCAGGAGTGTGCAGAACAAATTGAATTCAGTCTCTCTACTTGTGGTTCTCCATGGCCTTAGGGAGTAGAATAGACAAATATAAAAAAAAATACTGCAAAAAAATGAATGAGTGAGTTAGGGAGCTAGCTTCCTTGTTGAGAAAACCTAACTGTTGGATCAAATAATTGCTGAGCTACTGCTTACTGGAAGAAATTAATCTCTCGTGAGATAATTTAGCAAATTAGTTCCGTAATTCTTAACGCCCCATTCTGCAACCAGACTATTGAAAATATTTTGGCTAGGTGGCTTGAAAGAGTCCCCAGTTGCCAGTCAACATTTCTTAGTACAACATCTTGGGTCCTGCACTTTGGCCACAACAACCCCCAGCAGCACTACAGGCTTAGGAAGGAGTGGCTGGAGAGCTGCCCAGCAGAGAGGGACCTGGGGGTGTTGACTGGCAGCAGCTGAACATGAGCCAGCAGAGTGCCCAGGTGGCCAAGAAGACCAACAGCATCCTGGCTTGTATCAGGAATAGTGTGACCAGCAGAACCAGGGAGGTGATCCTGCCCCTCTACTCGCACCTTGGTGAGGTTGCAGCTCGATCCCTGTGTGCAGTTTTGGGCACTGCAGTATAGGAAGGACATTGAGGTGCTGGAGAGGATGCAGAGAAGGGCAACTGGGCTGATTAGGGGTCTGGAGAACAGGTCTTCTGAGAAGAGGCTGAGGGAGCTGGGGCTGTTCAGCCTGAAGAAGAGGAGCCTGAGGGGAGACCTCATTGCTCTCTACAACTGCCTGAGAGGAGGTTGTGGTGAGGGGGGTGACCAGTGACAGGACAAGAGGAAATGGGGTCAAGTTGTGCCAGGGGAGGTTCAGGCTGGATATTAGGAAAAATTTCTTCACAGAAAGGGTGGTGAGGCATTGAAATAGGCTGCCAGGGAGGTGGTGGAGGCACTGTCCCTGGAGGTGTTCAAAAAAGGGGCAGATGTGATGCTTTGGGAGATGGTTTTGTGGTTAGGGGTTGTAGGGTGGATGGTTGGACTTTGTGATCTTTAAGGTCTTCTTTTCCAACCTGGATGATTCTGTGATCTTTAAGCTAATCCATCTAACCATTCTTTCTGGTTACAATCATGGTGCAAAAATACATTAGAAAAAAATCAAGAACCCATTGATCATGGTGCAAAAATACATTAGAAAAAAATCAAGACCCCATTGAAGTAAACAACAAAAATCTCACAAAACTCAGAGATTCAACATTTTACTTAAAGAAGGCTAATGTTGTAGAGTTCATGTTATGACACTTGACAAATGCAAATTATATGTAAATAAATTATCTTAAATTACAAACATGAAACAACCCATGCCCTTCTGTGGGGCTGTGGGGTGATGCAGAAATCTGCCTAAAACTTCTAATCTATTCTAATTAAATATTGTTTTTCACTATTCCTCAAATTAATTCTACCATCTGAGCACTTGCCAGTACCATCTTGCATTTGTTTTCTTATCTGCTCCATGGCACAAAAGAAACATCCATCAGTGAGTTTTGTTCTGGTAGGGAGATTTTTTTGTCATTCTTAGGCACTTGATTTTTTTCTGGGTGAGGAGTAATTGGGACGGTTTATATAAATAATCAAACATTTGCACAAATGTTTGCCAGTTACAGCAAGCATTTGGTCACAGCTCAATTATTTTTTTTAATACGTGTTTATTTTTATTGTACAATACTGAGGAAGGGGGGTGGGGTGGGAGGGTATTTTATAATAATTTTGCAAAATAGTCAAGAGACCATCTGTCTCAAAGAAGAACTCAAATAAATTAACCAAGTTCCTCTCCGACTTTCTATATCTTTTGTTTTCAGGAATTTTCAGTGATGAATGCAATAGAAAAACATAGCTTTCTAAAACCAAAATGGAAATTTTCTTCCCCTTCCACAAATGCTGTGGGTGTATTTTATGCAAAAATAAGATCCTGAACACGATAGCACATTTTACTCCTATACAGAGAGCATCTTTGATTCATATCTGCTTTGGCAAAAAGCCTAAGCAAAACAAACTTACACAATGCACAAACAGTTAGGGATTTTCCTATTTCTCTAGGGTTTTCCCCGTTTGTGGTATTACTCAACTGTAGCTAGAGGTTATCTGAACAGACACCACCAACATGCAGCATTCTGAATAGGAGGTGCGATGCCAACTTTTTAGCTAGCACAGCAATTTCTCCTCAATCAAAGACAATTTTAATATCACATTGTTTTGTTTAAAGACTGTAAAGGAGAAAGTGAGATCAGCAGAGGAAGACTTGGATTTGGGGGCACAGGGAGTATTTTCATTAATTAAAATTGTCAAAGAAAAATCATGCGCAAGGGTGGAAATTCTTCCCTGAAGGATCTGTCATGCAGGAAAGAGTTTGAGGCAAATTTGGTTCCATGGTCTTCCTGTCAAGTCTGTTGTATCTTGTCCATAAAAGGGTTGGTGGCAACTCTTTCACGATTTCATAAGGAACAGTAATATGCCTCAAAATGCCTTAAAATGTATTATTTAATGGAGATCAGGTTGTCAGACACTTAACATTCATTAATTAAGGTGCCTACATGAAAGTCAGTGAATGTACAGTGAACAGTTTTTCCCCCTTTTGCAAGATTCTCAGTTGCAAAGCTATTACAGAATCTTCACAGAATCACAGAATCTTAGGGTTTGGAAGGGACCTAGAAAGATCACCCAGTCCAGCTCCCCTGCCAGAGCAGGATCACCCAGAGCACATCACACAGGAACATGTCCACGTGGGTTTTGAATGTCTCCAGCAAAGGAGACTCCACAAGCTCTCTGGGCAGCCTGTTCCAGTGCTCTGTCACTCTCACAGTAAAGAGGTTTTCTCTGATGTTTACATGGATCCCCCTATGTTCCAGTTTGCACCCATTGCCCCTTGTCCTATCACTAGACATCACTGAAAAAAGCCTGGCTCCATCCTCCTGACACTCGCCCTTAACATATTTGAAACATTGATGAGGTCACCCCTCAGTCTC